TTTTCTAAACTAAATGCTCCATATGCTGTGTCGGTTTGGTGATTATAAGAAAAAGCTATTACAATGAATAAAACATTAACATGCATAAAAAAATCATAAATAGTATTCAACGTTAAACTGGTACACAATTAGAAACATTTTATTTAGGCCTATCTATGGCCTTCAAAAAGTTGACGACTACATGTTAGGCCATAGATAGGCCTAAATAAAATGTTTCTAATTGTGTACCAGTTTAACGTTGAATATTATTTATGATTTTAAATGTATACACAAGTGCCAAAATACTATAATTAATATGTACATTTATTAATTTCCTAAACATTTTGAAAAGAGAAAAAGTTATGGTTTAAACGCCGAAAGCTAGCAAAGCATTAGAAATCAATAGTCCTATAACCTGTATAGCAGATACAGCTGGTATGGGTATTCAAAACTTTAATTAAAATAAAGAACAAGAACAACGTTTCGACCTTTTTATGTCAACTTCCGGTTAACAAAGACAACTCAAGAGGAATGTGGGGAGGGGAACACCCGCAGTTTACATAATTTGCATTTTGTAAGCGTATCTATTTATACAATTTTAGAGTTTTGCAATGTTATTTCCATCACATGCTAATAATATAAATATTATTACGAATCAAGTAAAAATATGAGTTAGGAATCATATATCATCAAGATAATTATTATAATTCTACATATTATGTAGGTCCATTGCTGATTGTTTGTTGTTGTGTAACGGTTTTCTAGGAATGTGAAAAATTTCCAATGACATTTTTGTTAATCAGTATGAATGAGCTTAAAAATTTAAACTGTAGTAGCGTAATTCTCTTCATTCATTGGTTCGTTTAAGTTATCTGGTTAAAATAATTCAAGTCCGGTCCATGTAACGATAAAAGTTATTTTATTTCCTTCTTTAATGTTTCTACAAACTTGAACATCTGTAAACTATTGTTGCGTCAGCGAGGTCACGTGACCAGTGTCACGCCACTTCTCTCGAACCTTCGGGAATAGTCGGGAGATTACTAGATATAGGGTAGTCTGGTATATATATAAGAGGGTGACAATGTGTGTGTAGACAGTGAGTAACTGATTTGCAGTCAGAGAATATTATTGAAGTTGAGCACGTTCGCTGTTATAGCGTTTGTTTTAGCGCGATTGTTGAAATTAAGTGTATCGTAAAGTTATATTCGGAAAGAATAAACCAGTTTTATTAAGTAAGGACTTGTGTCGCTAAAGTTTCGTCGGAACGAATTTACGAGAAATCAATTAACAAACGAGACGTAACAAATTGGTGTCAGAAGTGGGATAAATAAAAAAAAAGAA